CTAAGAAAAAAGACACACAATCAACCTGCTCCCATTTCAAAGAGCAAATTAAATTGCAGCAAACCAACAGAGAATCCCTTGCTGACCTACATATCAAAAACATCAAGTTTAACCTATTTCAAGCACTGCAATATCTAGGCTAACAGTGAGCCACTGAAACGCCCTGATAATCTCAACTTGTTGCTGTTCAAGGTAAACAGGTTGCTGGTGTGTCAAGGTCATATCAATGAGGAGATCATTTAGAGCCAGTTGATACAGATATTGCCTGCTATAGGAATGTGGGTTGACAAACAGGGACACACACAACCTGAAAATAAAGACATCTAGAGAGCACTAAAGGAAAATAATACAGCAGTCAAATTGTTATCCAGGGTTCTTGTATAACAATGCATAAAAATGTATTATTCATCTGAAATTGACTCCAGTGTCTTATTGAATTTTGTGTCTGTCTTTTTATGTTTTGTCTGTTGTTTTGTGATTTTATACCCCTGTCCTTAGAGGAATGATTTTTCATTTCAGTTAATCATTTGAATAACTATAAAATAAACATTAGCCTGATACTTGAAAATGTGAACCATTAATTGTTGCTGTTAAGTCAAAGTCTAAGAGCACAGAAAATCCAAAGACTTTCCCAGGCAGCAGAGATTGTGTAAAGGGCATTCCTTGCATTGTTCCCATGTAATCGCCTCAAATGTAAAGTGTAAATGACATACAGAAAGGTGCCAGTATTTAAAAGACCTTATAATCTGGGCAACTGTATTAATATAGTGTTCTGCAGAGAAATATTTTAGCTTTAATTGTGAAAGTGAAATTTAACACACATAACTGTACACCCAGTTCACAATTTTATTCTAGTTGGCACTAATACAGCTTAATACAACAGTCCTTCAACCTTAAATCAACACCTCTATTAAAGTATTAGAAGGCATGAAAGTTTTTTCTTGACTAAATCCCCACTTATAACCATTATCAGACTGTGCACTTGTTCCTCAACTCCACCTGCCAAGGAAGACCATTAGATGCTGCTGAAAGCTCTGGAAGCTAGTAAGTGGACCTTGAATTAGGACTATTTTGTCAAACTCTCTAAACTACTATCAACAAAAAACTGAACATTACAACCTTAGAACCTGAAGCTGAAACAAGTAGTTGATTCATTGATTAGTCAGTTCACAGAATTAATCTGCAATTATTTTGACCATCATTTTTTAACCAAAACTTCACTAGTGCCAATCTCACGGATGTGAATGTTTTCTGGTGATATCAAACTAATCAACATAATTTTAGATAATTCAATGCAATTTTGGGCGGTCAGTCACAAAAAACAAGCAGATGCAATGATTAATTGATTAATCAATTTGCTAACCAACAGAAAATGAATCGGGAACTATTTTGGTAATCATTTGCAGCTTCCAGCTTCCCAGAAGTGGAGATTCCCTGTAAATTTTGGACTGGTGATCAGTTGATTTTATAAAAATTGAATCATTCAATTGATAATGAAAATAATCATTAAGAACAAACAATTTCAAGACACCACCTTGAGCTGTGGGACATTTTAACTGAAGAAATGATCAGCAGATTAATGGATAATGAAAAAAATCTTTAGACTCAGACTTAATTACTTTTACTTTCAATTAGTTATGTCTACAAACTGGCAATGCTTGTATTTGTAAAGAGCTGCAAAGTGCATTTACATAAAAACACACAAACACAGACGCTTTGTTTACACTGCAGCGACTTGAAAATGGCCATTGAGCATTCAACATCAGCCCCGTCCAGTTTATCTGACTGCTCCTCTTGTTCCTTTTTAACAATTTATAATGCTGTTAACTTCCTTCATTGCACTTATGAGCCATCATCGATTTAGCCTGTAGAAGTCGGAGCAGCAGTTTTACACCGAAGTCAATAACACTATTACACTTTACAATCTAGCGACCCTGGCCACTCAGTGGGCAAAACACCGCAGCTATAACATATATCAGTTTACTGCCAAAACAAGACAACTACTTGTTAGCAACGATCTGAGGGGTCATAAGATACTCCATTCGTCTTCCGGGCTGCCTACGAAGTTTTGAATGACAAGTAATTCTGCCACACAAGCTAGTGCTGTGCTGGCTCACTTTAAAGGTAAAGAAAAGCCTCTAGTCGGCAAGTACACATTAGCTTTAGCATTCAGTAGTTTCGGTTAGCAGTGTATGGGTGTTTAAGTTCTAATATTCTTTTCAAATTAACTCACCCGGTTAGTCATCTTTGTGTTTTCTTTTTTTTTTATCCCCCGTTCAAGTGCAACTCAGCATTAACGCTCCGCTGACAGAACAACTGCGGCTTCTTCTGTTTACTTTGTTGGTGGTTGGTGAACAACTTTCGGCGCATTCCCGCCACCCACTGATCAGGAGTGTGAACTACAGATCTACTCTGATATTTATTATTCGAAACATTTTCATTTTCATCTTATTAAAAGTATTAAACATTGAAAATGGAAGAAACAATCAATCAAAACTTAAGACTAAATAAATAAATAAATAAATAAATAAGATAGCTTACATAGTGGAAATGATACAGACAATATATACAAAATCAAATTTATAAATATATAAATGAATAAAATGAAATGCAACACGTAGATAGTAGTAAAAGTATTTCCAAAAGCACAAAACAAGACTTAAGGGTACCATGTAACAAACAACAAAGACATGAAAGAAAAAAATATTCAAGGTTTTATAAATCTCTAGTTTTTTTTTAAATTTTTTTATTGCTTTACTATTCTTCAGTCTATGTAATGAATCAATATAGTGTCTAAATACTATTTTGAATTGATGTATGTGTGGTTATGTGTTCCTCTCATGGTCTTATAATAAATCCATGGTTCCTCTCCACAATAACTGCAGCAATGAGAGTGACGTGCAAGAGGCAGCATCCCCGAATGTGAGGTGAGAGGGACTGAGACTGTATATAAAAAGAATTATAGCCCTTTTTTTAAACCCCCCACTTGTTATCTCAATAATTTTGACAACTATTTGTCAAGTTTCAATGGTACTTAAGTGTGTACTGCAAACAGTGGAGTTTACTAAAGTTACTTTACTAAATTAAAAAAAAAAACTTATTTGTGTTTATGGGCAGTAGAGTTAGATTTTTGGGTTAATAGCATTCAGCAAAGCTTTATTTTTTTACACTCTTTATTTATTAAAATATGATCCTTTACAATAGTTATTTCTCAGAAAAGAACAAAAGAATATATATATAAAAATATATATAATTTCTCTCCACAAACAAATTGTTAAATAAGTGGAAAAAAATAACTTATTTTTCTTTTCTCTTAGTCAGTTGGTTATTATCACTACAAAGTCATGCTGTGAAGCCAAACATGGTTCAAACCAATATATGTTCAATTTTAAGTTTTTTTTGCAGCTCCTAAAAGTTTACAAAGATGACAAATATGTCAGGGTGGCTAAGACCTAGATCATTGTATATATACAGTATATAAAAATGTAACAGATAAATAAAATAATTGAAAAACACTAATTTTGAATTAGAGAGGCAAAGTAATCTCTTTATTTTAGATGCTAGGAGTCACAGTGAAATCTGTAAACAAACACTGAAGGGCATCAAATCTAATGGTTTCTCTTTATGACTGAATATTTGAGGCTCTTTCTGCTACAATTACAATAATACGATTGTGCTTATCATCATCATAAATCTAGAAAGAAGGAAACAAGGCCTAGTTCTCAAAAAGTGATGTAAAGCAGCTGTCGATGCAGCAGTCTACAGATGCTTTTTTGTCTCTTGTGATGAAACTGCACTGAGCCAGAAGAAGTGTTTCACAGTTGAAGAAACATGCCTGGTTGTAAACACCACACTGTTTGTGTAAAAATTAAAATAAGACAATCCAAAGCTGTCATTAAAACTGATTTAATGCCCTTTGATGTGAGGTTGATTTTTCAATTTAATGACAAATATAGCAGCAGGAGGAAGAGACTCTTGGGTGAATTCTGTATCGTATAGTGTTCACATCTGGATTCCTGCAGGATCATTTCCAATATTATTTCTTGCTGCCTAGATACCTTCCCTTTAACTTTTCCTTTGGAAAACAACGGACACACGTCCACCTAACTGCTGTATACATTTCCTGGGTCACACTACCACCTTTAAGTGCATCATCATAAAAATCCCGTTTTCTTGCTCCCTCAACACAAATACCATAGCTTTTTACCATTACCATCAGCATTGTTTTTTTGCAAGAGATAACACAAAATCCTTAAAATACAAAATATTTATTTTGAAAATGTCTTTAGAAGAGGAAAAAAAAAAAAAAAAAAAAAAAAAAAAAAAATCAAAACCAAATCAAAACCATACAAATTGTTTGGTTACTAGCATACCACACTAGTGCTAGGAACTAACAATGGAGAATTACTCACTCAGGGATAACTCACAGATGCTCAGAGGCGATCTCCACCCCTGCCCTCCAATTTCATATTGCACCCAAACAATGAGGCAAACAGAAGTGCCGAAAAAGTGGCACTAGTGGTGAAATGGCATCCAATCTGTTCTAGAAACTTACATTAGCAGGAGGGGCAGACATGTGGCAACCATCTGATTTCCTTTCTTTCTTTCTTTTTTTTTTTTTTTTTTTAAAAGAAAAAGAAAACAAACAAAAAAAACAACACAAAACCAAAAACAAATAAAGTGAGTTTAATACATATCTGAAATACAGTGGGGACATAACTGTTGGCGTTAATATGATGAGGAAAAAAATAAGAGCTAGAGGGAGCTCTCTGACCAAAATTCAGTATCCCAAGGAGTATCCCAACCTTCCAAGAACTGAACAGTGTGCTTCTGAAAAGATATGGACACAAAGGAGAAAGCCTCATTTCTGCAGGCACAGCTGCTAGCAGCGTCTGAGGCCACAGAGGTCAATGTTGCACCTTTGAGGTTGCAGTGGAGTTGGCTTGAGGTTTGGTAAGCCCCAACCTTATAGCAGATATAAACATATATGTATTCTTAAACCTTTTCATCTTTTTATTGTGGTTGTACAATATTCCCTGATGGCCTGATTTGGCCGCTGAGTGTTATACAGAATCCTGAAGAGATATCAAAATTAAAGAGAAGAAAAAAAAAAAAACAAAAACAAAAACAAACAAGAGAAGTGATGAAATTGTCCGTTGAGGGAGAGGAGGGGGGAGTTTGATGGGGGAATCCTGTTTGTTGCAGTTTGTGGGACTTTTTGTTGCTCTCCCTTGTCCCCTTCTTAAAATGTTACACACGCTGGTCAAACACACACAGTTCCTCCATCGCACTGCCGTGGCAATCTACTCTGAGGATGAGGAAGAAAAAAAAAAACATTTAGCAGAGAAGAAAGAAGGAGCATGAACGCCTTCATACCTTACAGAATTTTTTAATTTTTTTTTTTTTTTTACCTATGTCAGCTTCTTGGCTTTGTTGTAAAGTGAATCCACGACTTTGCTCATGTTCTGAATTGTTTCCAAGGCTGCTTCGTACGTTTTGTCAACTGGTGGTTCCTCAAATATGATCAAGACGCCTTCACCTTGGTCAAGGATTCCTGCAGCAGTGTAATAACATATATTACAGCACACTGAAAACTCCTGTGCTGCCTGCAAAAGTACGTGTCTGATATTTGTTAGTACAGGCAGAGACGATTCCAATTACCGTGAAACTTTTTGTCCAGAATCATCTGTGATAATTTCCTCTCAACATCCCCCTATAAGGTAAAGAAAAAATGAATAATAAAACCCACATTTAAGAGATACAGATGACGCTTTTAATGCCCAAGAAAAATTGGAAAACTGCAAAGAGACTTACCTTTGACAGTTTGATTAGACCCGATATGTGTTCTATCTGAAAACAGAATGAGAGAGGCGAAACTAATTACTGCCTTAATCTTTCTTTTTTGTAGAAATGATGAAGAACAACAGGACAGGATTGCATGGTGCAATAGGTTACTGACACGGCCACTGCTACACCGAAATCTCTGACCCACAGTTACATTTAAACCCGTCCTGTCTGAATAGAAACTTCCAAGAAAACAAAACCCAGCAAGGCTTCACGGCAACTTTCCTTTGTAATGCCAGGCCTGTAGCAATTCATTACCTGTACTCTGGAAAACGGTTCAATGACTCGGATGAGGTTTTGTTCCAGCAGGTTGTCATAGAGCTTGGCCAGGTGAGTGTTGATAATTGGGTCGTCCCTCAGTTCTGCTTTGTACTCTGTTAGGGCCTGGAAGATACAAAACTTTGACTTTAAAAACTTGAAATACAGCAAGGTTTTGTAATCAAAAGTTCATTCTTCAAGTAGAGTTCATGTCACCCAGCAGCAAAAGAGAAAACAAAACCAAAAAGGCTAAATGGAGTTTGTCTTAGTTGTATGAAAAGCCATTAATGCAGATCTGATCAAACTAAAAGGATTCTTACCTTTTCAAAGTCTGCTAATGATCTGTTCTTGCTGGCCTGGGCAACACACTTCAGTGCATCTGTCTAAACAGATAAAGACAGAAAAGAAAATCATGAGTGTCATTCTCCAGAGAAAAGGCTAAATGAGAACAGTGAAGGTCATTTTCTTTTAGAATGACAAAGACAGAAACTGAAGTAAACATAAAAACTGTGACACTGTGACCAACAATAAAAAATTCAACAACAAAAAAATCAATCAATTTCAGAGTGGACAAGTGGCCATATTTGTTTTATTCACAAAGTGTTTCAGAGGGTCTTCTAAACAAAGCTGAGAGCAGTCCTGCCCTCCAAAACTTCTATTTCATTTACTTATTATGTACCTGGAGCAACATCCAGGAAAAACAAAAACAACAGATGTCTGAAAAGAGTTGAAACAAATGACATCAACGTTTCGTCCAATCTGCTGTGAGTAGAACATGACCGGTACTTGCCTGTCGGCCGGCGTACCGCAGGGCCAGTTTACCACTGATCAGGGCTTGAACCTCCTCTGGTCTGAAAGAGTAAATTTACAGAGAAATGAACAATCAAATATATGATTTTGAATGATGGACATGATCAAGGGACCATATGTGAATGTCAACGAAGGTTCAACAATAAAACCTTGAGTTTTTAAGTACTACTCACAAGTTGAGCACAATTTTGCACAGGAGCATGTATTTGAGTGCAGTGATGGCTCTGGGGCTGTCGATGGAGTCGTAGCCCTCGAAGGCCTCAAAGAAGTAGGAGTAGGCCGTCTTCCAGTCCTTCTCCTCTGCTGCGTGGATGATCCCTGCAGCAGAGACGACACAACACCACAGTTACCATCTATAGTCAAAACAAGCCTGACATGAAATGTCAACAGAAACTGGAGGAACTGGCTGGGCTGAGGAAAAACATTGTGTGATTGTGCGATTAAAAGTGTAGTCGTTTCCTGGCTGTTGCCCGACACTGATCACTACTTTTTTCTAGTTCACACCGCTGCTGCGATGCCATGAATAAGCACGATGCTATCATACCTCACAGCTCTTCCGCCTTCGCATTAGTAAACACAAACTGTGTGACTGAGATAGTTATCAGTGTAAAATGAGCTGAGTCACTGAAGAACACGGCAAATACTCCAACCAAGCACCCGCTGAGAAAAAAAGAGTAGCCCAGTGATTGGTTTCCAATCATATCAATTATAATGATGTGATACAAATCCAATTTAAATTCTATAGGGTAACAACGTATCACATGACCACAAAAATTATATTACGCTAAACTGCCATGAAATTGTTCTTCAGTTTAATTTGATTAATCAGAGACTCATCAGTTTATAATGCGTCACTTGTCACGCTTCTTGAAACAGGAGGAAGAAAATGTCAATTGAAAAGCATTATCTCGTGTGTGATTCCATCAAATGATAAGACTGTGTGTAGAATTTGAATTCTGCACACACAGTTCAAGGTTGTCTAACGCCCCCCAGTGGCAGTCATCAAAAATAGACACTGTAGTAGGCAACGGGTTGTCTTTACTGTTCTACAAACAAAAACGTATTCTAGATTCTCAGAATCATCTGGAAGACGCTACAATCACACACAAACTCATACATAGTGGCTTCAATACATAATCCTCTCATCCTGCTATGACTATTATAAACTTTCCCAGTACCCTGATAAAGATAACCCACGTTTTTTGGCTTTGGTCATGTGTGAACCACCTTGAGATAGAAGTCATTTCAGGGAACTGAGCTATCGTTAATATTAGAAGTTACACCTGGTCTTTTAAAATGTTATTGCCAAATCCGTTTCGTAGCTTGTTTTTCCTACCATGGTGCCTGATGGTAAAGCTGTCAAATAGCAATAATGTCACTTTAGCCCAGGTGAGCTTTGGGAGTTAGGACAGCAAACACATCTGACCTGACTGCATGTCCAGCGCTGCCTGGAGCTTTGGAGGACAGTAGATGGCGTTGGCGGTGGTCCTGGCTGAGGTGAGGGCTGCACGGGCCTTGGGCAGGTTACTGAGAGCGTGGTACGTCTTACTTTCCAGCAGCTGAACCTCCACCAGAAGAGCTTTGTCATCCATCTTTTTCAGCTCCTGGAGCAACTGGGTGCCTAAGGGGAAGAAAATAAATGAAAGTTAATGTCATGCACATTAACTGTTGCTATAACTTTGTACAACACTTGGTAAACAGCTCGGGGGTAAACGTACAATTATAGTCCTGGTGTGTGTTGTTCTTTCTCCCTTTCTAAGTAAAAATATGTCTAACTACTTTGCAAACTGGGTCAATTTGGCACAAATTTCAATAAAAAAGAAACTTTTACACATTGGAGGAATAAGACTGCAAGAATAAAAAATATCTTTTGAAAGTATTTGTGTTTCTTAGTGGACTAGAAAACATCTGGGTGGTATTCAATGTTTGATAAATATGTCAGAGCCAATAGCAGTGCCTGTCTATTTGTAAAGTCTCTGATGCAGGAAGACAGATGTTGCCATTTACTAACAGAAAGCCTCGTCTCTCAGCACTCACCCAGTGCCAAGGCCTCCTGGTATCTTTTGGTGTCAAAATAGAGTGAGATCAGCCGTGTCTGAAAAAAAAAAAAAAAATAGAGTGCTGTTAGACAAGCAGAGAGCAGCTGTGCCAATCTATTGCCTTACAGAAACACTGCAGCATGTATCACGGACCTGAAAGACAACAAACATCAGTCACAACAAAATTAGACAGGAATCTCAGCCTTCCTCACAGGAAGCCAAAACAAGGCTTTCTGCTCCATGATTCTTGCACGTGTGAAACTGATAACTGATCATTTAATTTACTGATCCTTGCAGACTATTTTCCAGGCCTCTAACGTACAGCCTTTTGCTTGTTTTCGTATTTATCCTTTTCATTTATACCCACATATCCACATTTTACCTCTAAAAATAGAAATCAAGATTGTAACATTCATATTGAAAGTTTAGTTGTTTTACTTTAGGTGTTTTAAACCTGTAGTGCATATCAATTGGATGTCATGAGATGGTAGCACATAGCACTATTAACAAAGTTTCCTTAAACTTTTTTTTTTTGTCCCATTAGATTATTCATAACGTGTGGCCCAAGACAAACCGCTGCCTGTCTTGAGAGCGTCCTTCTTCTCAGCTTCCACTCATTCATACATGCCACAGTTTCATTACATAGTTTTCTTCTAAGTACTAATACGACATCTTGTTGATCCAGTATTTTGTAATTCAGCCAAAAGCTCTAGATATTTCTGGCTGTGAGTGTGAACCTGCTGGCAGTCATTTGGTCACAAAGCCCATTCTGGCTGCGTAGCAGGGTGATGACATCATAGATGGCAGTGTGTAGTAGATGTATTAACACCTCTTGTTGTCACTTTCTTCAGGCAAAGTTTACAAATTAGCTTCATCACATTTATCGAGTTTATTGCTTTCATTTGGTTTTTACCCAAAGTAATGCCACAGCAGCGGTGTTGCATAACTAATGACAACCAAACGCTTAACTATAATCTGCACAGCGTCTCCCACTCCATGAGTCAGAACATGTTAAATTTGATCCCTCCCACAGCTGCTATTTATGTTTGGGGATATTGCTTTTGTTTTCACTATCATTAATCATAAACAGTGTTGTATGTCAGCACTAACTAGGGTTAGATGAGAGGATGAATACATCAGCTGTAGGTGGTAGTTCTATCTATGGCAAATGGCCCATTAAAAAAAACAAAAAACAAAATAAGCACTTTTATATTTCTGCCTTGCCAGCAATCCATGTGTCAAATGTATTGCAAATATCTAAACTGTAATGGCACAGTTGGTGCTCTATAAGTTATTGCAATAGCATTTGATAGCACCCACAAGACTATACTAATCCTCCTTACCTCCAGAGCCTGTCGTAGGAAGGTCCTCTTCTCGGCCTTGGCCCACTCAATGCATTCAAGACACAGCTCTACCTCTTGCCCTGTTGCTGCCTCCATGTCAAGAAAGAGGTCCAGCAGGGAGCGGACCAGCCGGGCCGCTTTGGCCTTGCTGATGGAAATCAGGAAAGGCCTCACAAATTTCAGGAGACCTCCCAGTTCTGGAGACAGACGCAGAAGAAAATATATCGCAGATATTTCAAAGCAGTGAAAACATAAGGCAAATAACATCTCCCAGTCAGAATGGAATCCATTAGATTATCTTTAGGTTTAGCTGCAAAACAAATGACTGATGACTGACAACAACTTCATCATAACCTTTCAGAGTTTAAACATTACCTGCAGCCTGTCCTGTCTTGGCCAGGAGCATACCCAGCTCCAGGATGCTCTGTTCTTTGACCCTGACAGCTTCCTCATCGTTCTCCTGAACATCTCTCCTCACTGTTGAACAGAAGAAACAAGATGATATTAGAAACAATTTATTAATTTAAATGTATTAAATGTATACATGATGCAATCTGTGAATTTTCAAGAACCATAATGTCCAAATAAAGTTTGGTTTAGTTTATCATATTGGAAAAATGTCCTTCAAACTTTCCAAGAGCCCAATGCAATTGCTATTTCTGTCCAACCAACAGTCCAAAACCCAAACATATTCAATTTACAAGGATGTTAAACAGAGAAAAGCATCTTTTTCTAATAATAATAATAATAATAATAATAATAATAATAATAACAACAACAACAATAATAATTGTGAGGCTATAGTCTGTTAATGTTTGGTTTTATGTTTGTTAAATTACTTATACCATTGTCAAAGTGTTCGTGAGATAATTTTATAACCAATGACTAATATCTTGAACAATTAATCATTTCAGCACTACCGAGAAATATATAAATGTTCCGTCAAAATGTCAGGACTGTTGACAGCTAATGAGCTGGTGTGACAAGGCAATTTAAGGACAGTGGTGGTTGTGGGAAATGGAACTATTTACAGAAGACATTAATAAAATTTCAATTTATTCATAAGTGCATGGAACCACAAACACAGAATAAAATCTTGACTAATTACACATAAATGCCCCGTTGACTATGTTGATAACACAGGTTAGAGGCTTTTGACAACAAGCTAACAACGTTAGCCGCAACAGTAATCATGCTAAAGTGATAGCCTTAGGTTTAGCTGATGGTAGTTAGCTGGAAAATTGCGGTCAGTGACATAACATCACAAGACCCAACAACACAGTCAAAAACACAACATTACTGATAACTACTACATATTTCACGCCCAGGCCTAAACTTAGCAGAGATGCTAACGCGCTATCTGGCTAACAACCACTAGCAATTACCGTTGCCCACCGTTCAGCAGTGAGTCAGCACGGCACACCGCCGGCTCCTGCTACTGAACGCCACTAGCTAGCTCGCTAACCCCGCTGCCTAACACTGCCTAAGAAATTACATATCGCGGTGGTCAGATGAATATTGTCCATCTCAAAACGCCAGCTGAAAACCCACCTATTGAATGGAGAATGTCGATAGAGGCGTTGCGGTCCGTGCTAATGAGAGACTGGGCTCTCTGAAACTCAACCACTGCTGCAGCCGCCATCTTCCTTATTCAAATGCTGCTTGAATGAAAACTACGTGCGCAGACTACGTTACTTAGCGTATGTGACGTAAGGGTACGACGGGATTTAAAGGCTTTTGGGAAATGTAGTTTTATATATATATATACATATATATATATATATATACATATATATATATATATATATATATATATTTTTTTAAGGGGTTGTAAACATTCATCAGAAGCTCCTTTCCATGTGAATTTAATTTATAGGAGCTTTTGTATTCGTAACGTGTAATGTATGCTATTGTGTTGTTAATAGGGTTTCTCTTATTATGAGTAGTAGGACAATATGCTTATGTTTGTTGAAAATGCTCAATGCAGTATCAGAGAACAAAACATTAATTTACATCTACTGAATCTAGGTAATAGCCTACGCCTGTAATCACCATATTAAGACTTTTCAAGTATTATAATATGCCCTTCTGGACACCTCATATAAAATACATGATAATTAATTTCTCTCTAACTCTATCTTTTCTACTGTTAAGTCTTTAATTTGAAAGTCGATCTGCAACATTGAAAATCATTCATTTAGTTTTCTTTACATGATGCTAATTTATCACAGAGTAGGTTAACATAGAGTAGTAAAAATAAAAATCTTTTAAAGTGAGTGTTTATAGCTTTGTGTGAAAACCTCAACTGGAGGACTAAGGGTATTATAGACTGATTGAGATCACTGTAAAGCCTAAACAGCGATTAAAATAGGACAATCCTGTAGCCCAATGCAAAGCTCCTATACTCAGTATAGGGTTGCCTATGGAAACCCAAGGCCACTTCATAATCGCTTTGAGAAGAATGCAGTTGGTGCAAACGATGTCATGAAGAAAAACATCATTGGAGTTCATTGGGTTCAGTTTGCATGACCGCCTGCTGTGTGTGGCTATAGGCGGAGTTGTTTCCCAGCAGAGACAGCACCGCGCACAGAGCGCAGAGCGGCGCCCCACCACCGCCTTTGCGTCAACCATCCTCACACAGTCAGTGACACAACACAACATCAGCCCTCGCAGCATCCGCATCTCACGGCCAGGAGGACCAGGAGCACATCCTCATCTAAGCATCCATTCCACAACTGCCTACCATCGTCTGCGCACCAGGCGTGTTCATCCACCGCTTGCTTTTTTCTTTTTGCCTCGGCTCGGATTATTTTCTGTGTTGCATTTTTATTCTCCGAGATGGTTTCATGTTTTAATCGCGTTTTATAAGGAAAAACAGGCTCGAGACACGGAGCATCATCTATACAGCGCAATTATTCTCTCATCAAGCTGGAGATCTGGTAAGTTTGATTTCATTTTGGAACTGAAAGTGTTGCACTTGAGGTCGCACAGATTCGTGGATTCATTATATTTGAAAACAGATGATGCGCAGCTACATCCAACTGGGAAAAATATGGCAATAAATTGAAATGAATTTGAGATATGAAGCTGTAAACAACCAAATTCGCCGACATGTTGTGAGATGTTAACGGATACAGGGAGAAAGGATGAGGATTTGCTTTCATTTTTTTAAGCCACCGCCTATTATGGCCAACATTTTCATTTCGACGCAGATGCTCAGTTTCAGCACCATGGAGAGCACCCGATGTACACAACTCCACCACATCATAGGAGAGAAAAAAAGCCCAATAAATCCTTTAATTTTACTCCAGTGAAGTCACATGAAAAGCTGATGTTTTGGAATTTCCTCCAAAACTGATCAGTTAATCATCAGACTGATATCAGGGTGATGGAATGAGCGATCGAGCTGCTCGGATCCTGCGCAAGTGAGCAAAGTCGATCCATCGACTGGCTGTCTTTCACATGCACAGGCTGCAGCGAGGAGCGAAAAAAAAAACATTACGTGCACAGAAAAAATCATTTATCTCAGTATTTTAATGGAGGTGATTTACATGACATGACCTTGGCTTTGTGCTTTTAATCTGCTGAGTACTGAATACAACCGCGGCGACCTTCACCTGTTATTATGGTGTTTACGTTTCAGTCTTCCATTTTAGTGCGAGGGTGGCGCATGGCTCAGTGTGACTTGTCGGCCATTGCCCATAAAATATGGATCTCTCATTGTAAAATGTTCATGAATTCATCATATAGGATCAACTTTCAATCAAATATACTGTCGATGGCTGATGTACAATCACTCATATTATTATGATTTCCCTGTGTGCATTATAATCTCCTGCAGATGAGCTGTAGCACAATTTCACACCAAGCTGTTTTTAGTATTAGGATCATAGCCTGCTTATTGCATGTGCAGCAAAGCGGGAGATCTATACTCTATACTGAATTAATGAGTGTAAGCTATAGGCTGAACCATTCCACCACTTACTGAGTCAGATCAATACTGCTAATAAGGCTGAGGATCTGTCAGATAAACCACTCGTTCATGAGAACATCACAGACCTGATGATTGTGATATTATCTGAATAATTAGATTTAATATCAGATCAACATTCTTTTTGCTTGTAAACAGGGATAAAATACAGCGAGGTGGCCCTTCACCAATTATTTTTCTGATTATTGATCTTTTCTGTTTCCAGCAGTGGCCATCTGGAGACGCAGACAAAGAGCTGAAACACAACAGAGCCTGTTCCAGTCGAGGTGATCGTTATTCCCTCAGAGGACAATCTCCTTCCAGACTTTAAATGCCCAGCGGCAGCCTGTAGCCCGGGACTCTCAGCTCCCAGAAGCATTGAAGCACTGAGACCCTCAGGATCTCCCCTGGCAGACGCTCCTCTGACCCAGTGCGGCTGAAGCCCCTGGACGCCTCCCCGCAGTCACCATGGGAACCGTGCTGTCCTTGTCACCTAGCTACCGAAAGGCGGCTCTCTTTGAGGATGGACCGGCCACTGTGGGCCACTACACGGCCGTCCAGAACAGCAAGAACGCCAAAGACAAGAACCTGAAGCGCCACTCGCTCATCAACGTGCTGCCGTGGAAGCGGATTGTAGCGGTGTCAGCCAAGAAGAAAGGCTCCAAGAAGGTGCAGCCCAACGGCACCTACCAGAACAATGTCACCCACCTGAACAATGAAAACCTGAAGAAGTCGCAGTCCTGTGCTAACCTGTCCACCTTCACCCAGGACCAGAGCACTCCAGCTCTCACCAAGAGCTCCAACAACACAGCGTCCTCTGTCAAGAAGGCCCCCCTGACCAACTCCAATGTGGCCCCCGGGACCCCTAAGAGGGTGATCGTCCAGGCCTCCACCAGTGAGCTGCTGCGCTGCCTCGGGGAGTTTCTGTGCCGGCGTTGTTACCGGCTCAAACACCTGTCACCCACTGACCCAGTGCTGTGGCTGCGCAGCGTGGACCGCTCCCTGCTGCTGCAGGGCTGGCAGGACCAGGGCTTCATCACCCCCGCCAACGTGGTCTTTGTCTACATGCTGTGCCGCGACGTGGTCTCCTCCGAAGTGGCCACGGAGCACGAGCTGCAGGCCGTGCTGCTCACCTGCCTCTACCTGTCCTACTCCTACATGGGCAACGAGATCTCCTACCCGCTCAAGCCCTTCTTGGTGGAGAGCTCCAAGGAGACCTTCTGGGACCGCTGCCTGTCCATCATCAACCTGATGAGCGCCAAGATGCTCCAGATCAACTCCGACCCGCACTACTTCACTCAGGTCTTCGCCGACCTGAAGAACGAGAGCCAGAAGGAGGAGGAGAGGAGCCGCCTGCTCATCGGCCTGGACCGGTGAGGGGATGCTAGGGGGCGGGAGCAGAGGGGTCAGGGGAGGTGGGGCATACTCCAGTCTGGCATTTTGACAAGTTTGAACCGCATTTGTGATTCTATTTATTTATTTATTATTGTCAATCCTGCAGTTGGATTAGGCCAATCTGGAGGTGTTTAACATTTATAACAACTTTAATAAGGCTGATGACAGAATCCTCAGCTCTGGAGGGAGGCTTGCTTATTTTGACTGATGTGTGTATTATGTTTGAGGGATAACAGTTGCCATGGTCACCAAAAATGGGGCAGAAGAGCAGCTTTTTGCCTTTCACATCAGCAAAGGATGGGTTTCCTGTAAACCTGCGGATGAAGGCAATGATACATAAACAAAAAAAAAATGCCAGACTTGAGTAAATCCTTTGCTAACATACAGATATATATCTATATGAAATACTGAAAATCTTTAAAAAAAAAAAAAAAAAAAAAACAAAAAAAAAAAAAAAAAAAAAAAAACATTAGAAAAGGAAGCATACATCTACAGCATTGAATGTGGACAGGACTGAGGCCTCAGCAGCCGACCAGTGACCTTCTGACTGTTGTGATGTGCACTGCCTACTGCAGGAGGGTGAGGGCCATCGCCTGACTGACTGGCTTTCTTCATGCATCACGGATGAGCAGGCAATCCCCACCCCACCCAACCCTCACCCGCCCCCCCGCCCCCCCTGCCTGGCCCCGGCTGCAAACCCTGGCTCTTTTGGAATGCCAACACCTACGTCCCCAACATTCATATGGATACGATGGACACTGTTTGTTTGGTTTTTTTTTGCTGCAATGCATATCTGGCCATCTGTGGAGAGAACAGCAGGGGCCATCGTTGCTAAATCCATATTTTAGTGGGTTTCTGTTTGCGGCTCTGCAACAGTACGAGAGGGGGGGAGGGGGGAGGGGGCGATTGGATGGACAATAAGCAAACATTGCATTGTGGGACTTTTGATAAAATAAAGACAACAAACCAGAGGACGTGTGGCCAATGCTGAGTGGTCATACTGTGTGTGTTCAGAAAGACCTACTTTATTTTCATCTAGAAAAAAAAAATAAAACAAGTTACTGGATGTTTTGCTCCCCAGAGGCTTACACCTATGGAGGCTTATTTATTGCTTTTCTGGAACAAGTTTTCTTTGATTTTTTTTTTCTTTTTTTACTTAGAAATGTAATGTTTTGCACGTGTGCCATGCAATTTTACAGAGTTTCTGAGAGGAGCAGGAGCAATCTTCTTCTTTTTACTTGATTTATAAACCAACTGCATCTGCATTAGAGAATGCTGTGAACAAAGTGACACTAGTTTATTTAGCTATGCTTGCTAAAATAGGCTATTTGTTTACCAGGGAAATTGTTTTTGTACTTTTGTCGATAGGTTGTGTTGCAACCACTTTTGGAATGATGTTTGATTTTGTGCTTATGATTCAGCATAGAAAATGTTAAAACAGTGCCATATCTTTGATGGAAATCCCACAGGTCTGAGAACACTCTGAGACACGAACGACGGGGTGGATTTTCATCTACTAATAACTACTTACTGACACCTAATTTATTGCCATTTACGTATTTATTATTTAGGCACATTTAATGTAAAAGAAAGATCACGGAGAGAGACTTTGGAAAGGGAAGGACTGGGGGGAGTGGCTGGTCTTAGAAGGTGTGCTTATCTTTGGTGGGAATGAAGATTGATCTGGTTTATGCAAATGAATGTCGCGGGGATTTATCAGTGAATATCCAATTCAAAAGCTCATAGATCAAAACCAATGTTAAATCTGACCATCACCAAAGTGACATCATCCAGGACACCTTGACAGAACAACACAACACTTAAGACAATGCCCTGAAAACATCTGTTTTTTTGTCCTGCAACACTGGCCTGCATGAGGAGCCGACACATATCAGACAGAAAAAGCACACACATTTTTTTTCCAGGGGAGTAAATGATTTCAATGACGCCTGTTCACTATCACTGCGGAAAAGCACAGGTTACCTTTGAGGATCATCCATCAGCATCAGCTCTGTGTAAATCACATGATGAGCTGCACTGGAGGATGTGAGGCGACCTCCATAGGAAAAATCACATTTTTAAGATTTTCAATCAGAGAATCCACAAGACTAAAACGACATGCTGCAGCGTGCAGTGGGAAGACCATGGCAACCAAAACAGAAAGCAAGCAGAGCAACTGAGACAGACCTATGTAGCTTTTTATTTCCACAGGAGAGAAGGTACTCCACTGTTGGTCGACAGCCACTGCAACTCCTCGCTGTCTCTGTAATGACTGCAATCACTGGAGAAGCTACAGTATTTCCACTCAGAAATGTATTAACTGGTTTTCACATCTCAACTTCATATAACAAAAAAAAAAAGAAATGTGTGCACTTCTTTCCTTTGCAGTGTTCTGAAAGTCTGTCTAAAGAAAAAGGCCTCTGTCATGTTTTAAAGTGGAGAATGAAAGGTCTCCGTGCTGCTGCTGCTGCTGCTGCGTTTGTGGGAATCCGAGAGAAAATGAAACAGCTCTGACGGCCACAACCTGTGGCTTCCTCTGCTGTGCGACTGTGGCCGACACACAGAGTTAGATCAGTGAGAGAGACGCTTCATTTAGAGTGTTTGTGCCGGCACAACAGGGGGACACACACTTTGGATGTGCATCTGCTTCTGGCAGAAAGAAAAGCAGGGCATTGGGGTAAAGGGCCTCAAACAGAGACCACCGAATCTTTTTTTTCTCTCTGTCCACCTGCCCCCCCCCCTTCCCAACTCACTTGAAATGTGCCATTTTATTTTTTCTCCACTTTGCATCATTGAGTAGTTGTTTGAAAAAATACTTTCAAAAGCTGATAAAATATGAAAAAAGACTCAAGTGATAGTTAAAGATTTCTGTCAAAATTCTTTTCTGTATCTTGTTGCGTACTTTGTAGATAAAAAAAATGAAACAGTGGTTAAAAACTTCAAAAAGAGAGGCATTCAATGACTGCATGTGTGTGTGAATGTGGGTGTGATTGTGTGCGTGAAAGGCAGCGTTTTATTTGTACAGATGAATGTGTGACATGTTGTTTTCTTATGGACACGGAGCATACACCAACCACACTGGAACTCGGACTTGGTTCACCGTCGGTGGGGTGAGGGAGGGGTGTCAATGCTGTTCAATAAAAATCTTTTTTTTTTTTTCCTTTTTTTGAAAAAGACAAAAAAGCTGTTGCTGTAATTGAAACTTTTTTCAGTTAGTTTCTGCTTATTTTAATTTATTTTTGTACTGTGATGGAAAAATAAAATGCACTGATCGTTCAAGGCCGTCGCTTGTCTTTTTATGCCTCTTGACTCTCACAAACACAAGACATTTGGCGTGCCACACACATTCACACCAGGAAGCTGCTCAGTACAGCCACAGTCTGATGTGACGGTCTCTGGGTTTTACTCAGAAATACCTCAGTGGTGGTAATGAAGAAGCGAGACTTTCCCCACCTAGATTTATCCCCTGACTGGGAATCAAACTTGACACCTTGCTTTTCAATCAACTCTCTTGTTTGCCTGGTTTTCACTGACTTGGATCAGAACCAAATTGTTGTTTTTAGGTAGAAAAATGTGGGTGTGAACGTCCAGTTCCGCGTGACTGCAAAGTTTGTCTGGTTTGCTTTCTGCCTCCTTCTCCCACCCTCAGCTGTCACCAAACAGTGCTGATTAGTGTTTTCTCTCTGATTGAAGGTGTCTGTGTGGCCACTTGCTCTGGTGCCTGGTCAAAGGTCAAACATCCTTATACAGCACGTTGCCTCTGCTGGCACAGGTCTGAGACCAGTTGACTGAAATCAAGTCGATTTTATTTATAGAAGGCCAAAACCACAAATCATGTTCCAGAATACGACACCTGCTATCCTTAGAGCCTCTTTTTGGAAAGTGAGAAACTCCAAAGATCCCAGACGAAAACATCTACAGAGACAAAATGGTGATGTTCATATATACAGGGGTGATCCTAGATTCTGGGGGCGCCAAGGCAAAATCAAAATCCATCAAAGAAACCCTCCCTTAATACAGACTAATGCTACAATTCACAGATGTCCCCTAAATGCCTCACATGCAGGCAATGAATAGATACTACAATTTGCATGCTCTATAAATGCTTCAAATGCGGGCTATAGGTAGACACTACAATTTGCAGATGTTCCCTGAATGCTTCATATGCAGGCAATTGGTAGACACTAGCTACAGCACACATCATCATAGGCCCCACTTTGGGGGTTTTTGGGGGCATCAGCAGTGAACTGTACAGTGTCTTTATGGGAGGTTAATGTTTATAATTGTCATTGCACAATGTGCCAATATAAGGGGCCATCAGGAGCCCCTTTTCTCCTTGGGGGCTCCAAGCATTTTTCCTGGTTTGCCTCTGGTGATGGTGCCCCTCTGAATATAGTATATAGATAATAATGTCATGTAGATTGTAAACAGAACAGCCACAACCTTTTTGTCTGAAGTACCTCCACAGGCCGGTCAGCTAAGTTAAAACAGTGCTTCTCAAAGTGGGGTCCCCCAGGGGTCGTTGGAGAGTTAAAGTACCTCCATCAACACCACACCACTCCACTCATCATGTTTCAAATGTGTTGACTTGAATTGATTTAAAAGAGGATGTTAGTTAACATTATTGATTATGTTAAAGCGGGTATTGTTACAGTGATGTTTATGTAAAATCAAGACATAATTATCTTTGAACTGTCTGTGATTGGGCCTGGTTTCTTTTTTAGGATTTTTCAATAGATGTGGTTTGCATTTCTCCAACTAACACTTACGGGTGGTAGAAGATAAAGGTGTCAACCTATCTTCATTTTCCCTCCAAACACAAACACATGGATCATTATTTTAAAAATCAAATCATGTCAGTCAAATCTTCCCATGTCCATGTGCATCTGGCTGGGAGTCAGTGCTGAAACTCCACATCTACTAAAAGGCCTCTCACGTGGATTAGTCTTGGTCAGTTCACTCCTGCATATCACTCTCTGTCCATTAGTTCCCATTTATTCAGCCACCAGGTCAGTCGGTCCAGTCTTACTTAGTCACTGCCCTTGTGCGAAAAAAAAGGTCATCCCACTCTCTGCAGCAGACAGTCATCCATCAACCAGTGGATTATCAACCCCTGCTGACGTAGCTGGCCATGGTTGACACGGGGGCAGTGGGAAGCGGTGTTGTCATGCCGACTACAGGGGTTTTAGCCGTCCCAACGTCACCCGGTGCAACAGCTGTTAGTGGGTGGATTACAGTTGAGCTCTACCCGCATATCATCACATCACATATTAGACACTATACGACTGCCCTCGGGAAACATTTGAGTCAACACATCAGTCTCTTACAACCACCACACACACACACACACACACACACACACACACACACACACACACACACACACACACACACACACACACACAATAATATCAACACCAGCTTACAGATATTGAAGCAAATAAATTTATTAATAAGGTGATTAATGAAATAGTTTTCATTATGGAACATCATAATGCATAATCTGCATTTATACAGAATACATTTGCAACAACAGTTCCCTTTAGACTTGGTCTGGATATTACAGTATATCTATGGTATGTAATAGTGAAATATTAAACAAATATGCAAAATATAAACTTATTATAAAATTAGGCACATACTGAATGAACGGTGCATACATACAGATTTTGCTTAAAGCCACAGAATAAATTATAGAAAATGGAATTTGTTACCCTTTGGCTAACATGGACGGGTCTCGTGTCAAATACATGAAAAACAGTGAAACAGTGAAAACTGGAGGAATGTACATGTTAAACACTCAACACAGAGAACAGTGAAGGGAAGAACACAATGGCACAAGTCACCTACTGGTAATATTCATATTTCTAATTCCTTCATGCCCGTTTATAAAGGGGGTAATTAGATCAAGCCTGTGGTTTTTAAATCTGCGGAAAAGCTGATAATCAATTACATGATAAAGTGATCACTGCTGAGAACATTAAAGCACAAGTCTGATGATGCTCTACATTTCTCTTACTGTCAACAAAACCAAAAATACATTCACCCTAGTAACACGTATCCAAAGCCTGATACAGATTAGTTGTAGTTTATTTTAAAACCAATCTGTCCTGTTGTACCAAATGTGTATCAATACACTGCTGAAAATAGTCCCCAACAAATGCACTATTTCCTCCTGTTTGAGCAGCGTTTACTAAAAGCTACAGTGCCCAGCTATTTTAGAAAACTGCTTTCACTTATTAAAAAATATAAGTTTATACTCCTGTCCTGTTTTCACTGATTTCTGTCTTCAGCAGGAAGCAGTGGAGCCACACACAGGTCAAGATGTCAACTAGAGCATTTGTAGCATTTTTAGATGTAGAGCATTTTGGTCTGTTCATGGGAATCTGTTTAAATTAACAAAAGGTATGACACTATCCTTATATTTTATTAGGATATAGATCCACTCCTGGTTAACATACTGAGCTTTGTCTTATTTTTTCTCTGCTGTGTGATACTCCTTTTGTTTGACTTGCCTTGTTGCTGGTGTACTTTCTCTTTCCATTTCCATGCCTCCTGGGCACAGGACGGCTGAAGGAAAACAAAAAAAAACAAAAACAAAAAAACAAAAACAGGAAAACCTTCACTGCCCTGCAGGACGGTACAGTCAGCCCAGCTGGGCGAGGAGCCAAGTGATTTGACAGGGGAAGGGAAGTGGAAAAGGAGGGAGGGAGGGAGGGAGGGAGTGAGGGAGGAAAAAGAAAGCAGAGGGAGTAGAGAAGGAGAGGAGGCCAAGTGAGGCTTTGTTCACCAACCCCCTTCGCCTTGAGAAAGCGAAGAGAGAAGCGCTGAAGTGAGAAGTGACACGGAGTCCATCCTAATGATAAGCGGTGAATAGCCGAGCAGAGAGGAGAGGAAGAGCCCTGTGGGAGATTACCATGCTGAGGGATATGGAGAGCTGTGGTGTTATAGTCCACACACACACACACACACACGCACACGCACACGCACACACTCATCACAGGCAGTCACTGCACCTAAGCTGCATTCAAAACTGTCTATTAACGCTCCCGATGTCACTTCCTTAATCCAAACTATGAATGCACCAATTTCCCCAAACAACTCCTTCCTGCTGCTTATCACACACCAGGACGAGGTCATCCGCCACAGAGCCGTGAGGTAGAATGGAGATTTGCCTCTTCAAAGGACAGGGGTGCTCGCAAACTAATTAAGATAAACGACTTGTTCAGACAACAATTAGAGGGCCACTGTGCTACTGTGGCTATAGTGACCGCTAACAAGTTTTCCTTCCTGTGGAAGTGAAGTCGACAAGAGCGTCCCCAGTCTCCTCAACTAGGCCAGACACCCAGGGAGCGTGGATTCATAACCTTGGGCAGTCGATCCTCTGCCCACAGTCAGTGCTCTTTACTCAGTCTTCACACAGAGACAACAAAGATATGTGTCTGTGGGTAGAGAGGCGAAGCAGTGTTGGTTCTCTCATCCTAAGAACTGGTAACAGTTACTCTCACGTCACTATGACGACCTCAATATCAAGCTAACAAAATCATCCCATCCATCCATGTGTCAGTTCCTTCCATATTCCGCAATGAGGAAGTTCTATAATATAATATAATAATAATAATATAATTCTTATACAGGGGTAAGAATTAATTTGCCATTCTTGAGCTTTCGACCATATCCCATGATCTTCATTAGTAGATAAGAATCGTCATGAAACTGTAGATGGTAAAATGATTGTTATTTTTTTTCTGAGCAGCAAGTGCTTCTTGTCCATGTTGACTTCAAAGCTGAGATTTAAAGTTAATCCCTGACGGACAATTCCATTTAGCAGCTGTTCTGGAGCTTTCAATCACATCACATGATCTTTATCAGCAGATGGAGTTTTCGTATTTGTAATGCAAGTCTATATGTTCAAATTATAATTAGAGCATTTTTGATGCAGTTTTCCTTGTGTTGCCTTAGACAAATTGGAGCCGTTTTCCAGTGGCAACTTGTCTCGACAGCGCTGACCTTCCAAAATGTAGGAAACTGTGGTGGCCTTTTAGCTGTGCCGCACCATCAACTTTTATTTAACCTCCTCTGTCGGACTAACTGCACAAAAGAGCACTGGTTTGCTGATAGCTGTGAAAAAGACATCCATAGTATAAGCTGGCCTTTGCTATAAACTTTGTGAGCATATTATCCTGTTAGCCACTGAGCTAATGAGCTCATTAACTGACAGCTTGTTTTCTCACTTACAGTTAGCAAGCTTGCTAGCTCAGAGAGCTTTTCCCCTTCATTCACTGATTAAAAGGGTGAACAACACCGAGAACAAAATTCCTCGGACAACCATCGCAGCTAATTAGTGCTAAATCTTACATTTTAAACCTCATGTTCCCGGCAGGCAAACATGTTAGCGGTTAGCTCACTGAGCCCTACATCCCTGTCACCAAGTTTCTAGAAACACAATCATTCATTCATAAAAAAATGTGGATGAATTCCGCTGTGTTATCTTTGATGTGATCAGGTTTTTAAAATGTTTGAAAAAACACATGAATTTGATCATCTACATCTACAACTCCATTTTCTGATGAAGCTCAAGGAACACGACTGACAGCTCCAGTACGGCTACTAAATGTAGTAAGTGTTTTCTTAACTGCTGTTTCCAAGGTCAAGAATTAGCAACAAAAGCACATTTCCATAACAGATAGCCTCTCTTTGCCTTTCGTCCTCAATCTGCGGATGTTCTGTTAATATCAAACACGCAGTATTAATCTTCATCTCGTGAGCTTCTGTTCTACAATGGCTGGACGAAGAACATATCGTAACGTGCCAACACCAGAGAGAAAACCAACAGCTTGTGAGAACAGAACGAACCAAACTCTGAGTGTTCAGTGCTGATGATGTGATCAGTGCAATTTGGCTCCAGAGAAGTGAAGGGAAATTAGCAAGATCAGATGAGAAACACGTCTCCTAACAGTCTAGCGTTCATACAAAAGAAGTCATTCCCATCATTAGACAGGGAGGTAAAGTAAAGTAGGACAGCAGTCTGATTGCAGACTTCACACCCCTCTGCCTCCACTCCTTCACCGTGGCCACTAGCCAGGCTCTCAGTCTCCTGAGCCAAGAGGAGGAGAGCGAAAAGAGCTAATCAACACACACACACATACAAAGTACACACACTTCCCCCACACACACACACACACACACTCTCTCTCTCTCTCTCTCACTCCCTCTGATGAAGGGGATATTTGTCAAGTGGAAGACTCTTCCACAGGACTAAGGACCACTACAAGGCATTAGGCTATTCACTTAACACAAAGACAGCAAATGAGACTATGTTCAGGGGCTGGAGTTCACATGGGATTATACAGTACTGGCCAGCAACACTCTGTTGCCAAGCTAAAGCATTAAATCTAACACTTGAAGAGAATATGAACTAAAAAGACCTCCTGGAAAAAAGTAATGTTTTTGTTATCATCTACAGTATTATTCAGTAATCATTATAACCCTCTGTACACTAAACGCAGTATAGGTGCTGTGCATACACATATTAATGGTCTTATGTTGCTCAGATAGAGTATATTCTAACTTTTAATACATAAGCAGTATACGAGTGTTATAAAAGTAGAGACGTTGCAGTAGAGAGTATAAGACGCAGGATTTAAATTATTTGATTTTAGCGTTTCGTACGAAGCAGGCTGCCAAGTTCAGGATATGCTCAACACATCCTGTGACTAACAAACTAACGATGAATTCGATTTGGAGTTTGTGCATCAGATGCTGCCTGAACCACTGAATCACATGTTCTCACTCGCTGTTCTGCTCCTGTATGTGATTGTAAACACAATGAACTAGTCTTCAATTAAAGGTCATCTAACATTACTATTCCTTAGAATATATCCACAACTAGTGTTTCAAAGCAGATAATCAAAGCTGACTAAGAATCTGAAAAATATAAATATAATTTTTTTTTTTTAGGGGTTTCACTTTTTGATCTGGCTCCCACACAGGAAGCTGCAGGGATTATAAATTCCTGCAAAGCCTTTGGATTTTTTCTTTTTTCCTATTATGCAACATCAGTGGTTCTGCGAACAGTTGCCGCATAATCTCTTCTCACCTTAACTCACAATAATCAATCCACAATAAACTAAATATTGCACAAAGCAAATCATTTGAAATTTGGATTTTAAAAAGAAAAAAAAAAAAACACCACTTTGGTGAATCATCTTGTAGTGCATATTTTTGTTAAACCTGTTAAGCTAATAACGTTTTGCATGTAGGTGTATTGTGCATTTCCTTTTCACTGTAGCATTGCATAGAAATCTACAAAACAGGTCAAATTTGGCATGGCTTTGCAATGTGAGGATTTAATTATCTGAATCCTCCTACAGAGCTGCTATCCACAATGTCACGTTATCAGCAGTTCTGCAAAAAAAACAAAAAAAACAAAAACAAAAAAAAGAACGAGAAGTGAATCATCAACATCGTCATCATAATCATCACCATCCCGGCCTGGTTTGAAATCAGCTGTCACTGTCCTTTTCTTTTTTTGTTTTCTTTCAGCCTGGTTTAGTTGCCAGGAACAGCCAGGATGTAACCAGATCGGCTCTTGGTGAAGTCCGGATGTGACTGGTTGATCTTGGGCTCGACGATGACCGTGCACTTCCTCCCGTTCATGCTGCACTGGATGGGACTCACGATGTTCACCTGCAGCTTCCTCTTCTCACTGCAGGGAGGACATAAAAGATAGAAGAAGATTTATGGTATCATCTAGGTTCAGTCATACATTTACTCATATTACAGTCTTAACATAAAGGCAACGCAACCTCAGTGGATTCACATTACATTCAATCATAGCCTAATTCACAGGAATAATAAATGCAGATCCATTAGTGACCTGTGCGTGAGTGTCTGTGTGTCTGTGTGTGTGTGTGTGTGTGTGTGTGTGTGTGTGAGAGAGAGAGAAAATGTATGAGAGGCTCTTGAGGTCATAAATCATACGCAGCATCATAATCTCAGAAAAACCCCACTACTGTACTGTAAACACTCTCACATGCTCAGTCATGCTAAGGGCCATAAATCTCACTTGCTCATTATTCCCTTTTTTGTATTGTGGGAGCGAAAACTATTGTGCATGAGAACGATATTGCACAGAGAATAATTACACTGTGAAATAGAAGATTGACGTAGAGAAATTATACTGTGTATGAGAGAAAATAGTAATGTGTGTTATTGAAGAAGAATTTTCAAAGAGTCTGTTGAGATCTGTAATGATTTTGTGTTGGCCAATTTAATGTAGCTAGAACCTGAGAATGGTTATTGGGCTGCACTTATACAGAGCTTTTCCAGTCTTATCAACCACTCAAAGATCTCCTGACTACGAGACGCATTCCCCTATTCACACACACATTCATACAGCGCTTTCTTTCTCTCATACTTACACACACGCACACACTCACACACTGACGGAACAGCCATCAGAGGCAATTTGAGGTTCAGTATCTTACCCAATACACCTCGCCACGCAGACCGGAGGAGCCGGGGATCGAACCACCGACCGTCTGATTAGTGGAACGACCTGCTCTTCGTCCTGAGCCTCACCAAAGACGGTGAGCAGCTTATATTAAAGGCCCTGCACACCCACACAGGTGTTTTCAATTACTCCAGTTGATTAGACCTATAGCCTATGCTGTGGTGTCACCAAACTCTGTGAACTAATAATGATGGCTGTGCGCCAGCAGCAAGGGTGGGGAAACACGCCTGCACCAGACGGCAAGTATGACACTATCGGCTGATAATCAAACAACACATAGTTGAGATGCTGCAGCAAACTTTACTTTCATCTTTTAACAGCTTTTAAGTGTCGGCAGAGACAATTTGAATTTGGATTCAGCCAATACAAGCCAGGTGAAATACAGTATGTGCTCTTCAGTCTGTATTGCTTATTCGCTGCACAGAGCCATCAGTTCAAGTTAGTGTAAGCGGTCTATGGTGTTTTGTATCAGTGCATGTGCTCCAAAACCCGACCAACACAATGGGGTTTGGAGAACATCTAATGACAACAGTGTGAACTGCAGCAACACTAACAGGAGAGCGAGGGAGACGTCAGTCAAACACTGCACCTACACAGTCTTCAGAGGAGTCTAATCAGGCGCCATGAGTGAAAACAGCTGTGTAGGTAGACTACGGTTGTGTAGAGACTTTATATGTTTCAAATAGTGTAGAAAATGCTATAAAACTATAACATTAAAAAGCTTATATTAATGAATGATTTAGCTCTAATTCACATTATGGGATAAGCTGCTCATTTCACCAGAGGAGACTGTAAAAACACACAGTCTACTCACGATCCCCTGGGCAGAGAGCTTTGGATAGAGGCTTGTTGTTTCTTCCAGTCTTGGTGCTAAAATAAGCTAAGCTAGGCTAAACTAACCTAACGGTCTGCAGGCTGTAGCTTCATATTTATCCTACGAGAGTAAGACTGGGTATCAATCTTCTCATCTTCCCCTCAGCAAGAAAGCAAATACCAGTGAGCGTGTCACCTAAAATGTGGAACTATTCCTTTAAAAAGGACTACAGTTTAACTGAGCAGNCACTAAGACTGGGTATCAATCTTCTCATCTTCCCCTTAAGCAAATACCAGTGAGCGTGTCACCAAATGTGGAACTATTCCTTTAAAAAGGACTACAGTTTAACTGAGCAGGAGGCTGCAGTATAAATTTTCAGTTTCTGGTTTACAGACAGAACAAAGTAAGAAGCTGCTCAGTGGCACAGTTAGAAACGTTTAAATAAAGCCATGATGAGTTTCGGGACACTTCCTGTCTTACATATACCATCACGGGAATATAACATGAGAGTATATTTGAGTATGACGAAGAGTATGATGCATGAGGATGAGTAGGGCATGATTGTGCATGTCAGAATGTAGCCTATAGGAGTGTGTGTGTGGGAGAGAATAATAAAGCCAGTGCAGGATTATGATGCTGTACATCTTAGAAATCCTTTCACACAGGAGAGATTGTGTGTGCGTGCGCGTGTGTGTGTTTAGGCGCACAGACTAAGAAAATGAAGATGAATAAAAGAGAAGAAATCAGGCAGGAATGCTGTTGTAGAAATGATCCATATGATGCTGCTGGGCTGGAGCGCAGCAGCGGATTGGCTTTTAGTGCCTGTCACATCTAGTTAGGCCTCTTCTGGGTGAACGGGTGCTTTGCTTCGTTTGCTCTTAAACAGGATCGATGACGGGAATCAAAGAGTGAGAAGGAAAAGTCATAAATTGAGAGGCTGCTTTTCACAGAGAGAGAGAAAGAGAGAGAGAGAGAGAGAGAGAGAGAGAGAGGGAAATGTAACATAATCCAAATGGGAGGAGGAATGAGACGATGACTGTGTGATAATCAGCTGAGGAGGGGAGAGGGGGGTGAGAGGAAGATGTAATGTAAATTTAAAGGGGCTCAGAGAGGAGGGGTGGTGACAGGAAGCTAAAAGCGTGATAAACACACATGCGTCTCTGTTCAGTCAAGTGCTCGTCGTGACACACTTTCTCTCTGGCACAGTTACTGATGGCGGCTGCCTGTGTCGTTTGTAAACAAATCCATTATCCGCGAATTACTGCTGCATTCACACAAAAGCTGCCGATCTGCGTCCCCTCAGATCTAAACTTGGGAAATGAGTCGCGAACCCGTTAACACCGACTTGTTGCGCAACAACAATAATAAGTCATAAACAAGGAGCGAGAGGCTTCTGCTGCCCACGCTGCACTCCTCTGCAGAGTGAGCGCAGCCCTGTATCACAGCTTATGCAGAAAGGAGAAGGGTAGGGTAGCGCTGATGCTGGTTTCCATGGCAACCCCCGGGAACTGAACTTCCCCCATCTGTCATGGCTGCCAGCCAGCCAATGGTACTGTGTGTGTGTTTATGTGTGTGAGTGTGTGTTTGTGTTGTGATATGTCTCTCTTTCTCTGTCCGTCTCTCATCCCGTTACTTCTCCGTCTCACTGAAAATGCCACAGGGGATGCTGCGCTGCGCTCCTCGTGAAGGGCAAACAGGGTTACACACACACACACACACACACACACACACACACACACACACACACACACACACACACACACACACACACACACACACACACACAGCTTCCACTGAGACCGGTGTCAAAGACCTGTTTGGTACACCAAACAGGTCTTTGACACCTTTCTCTTCCATCAGTGCCGAACCTTGCTTCTGAATAAACACTCTCTTGTTCCAATAAAGTCCGACACAACATCTCTGAATAGAAAATCATGATCAGTTGAGTCTTAAGGTCACCGCCTGACCTTTCCAATCAGGAGTTGGCCCGAGCCAGCCAGAGCCCCGAGGGCAGACTTAGTCCTTCATTGGATGGCCTCTCCAACTGGAAAATCAATTCTTTCCTTTTCCCTACCCACTGCCCCCCTTTTCCCCTTTGTGTGTTTTTGCCCTTCATGCCATGTGAGTCTAAGCTCACTTGCTCCCAAACGTACCTCCTCTTTATTTGGCAGGATGGAGGATAGGAGGAGAAGGGAAAGAGGAGGAAGCGAGTGAAGCAAGAAAAAAAGGGAGTGAGTGAAACAGAAGTGGAAATAAAAGTTGAGGCCAAAGGGAAGACTTTAAGTGTAGTGGAAAGCAAAAGAAGAGGGTAGAATATGCAAAAAGTAAAAAAAAAAAAAGAAGAAGGGAGTGCTGAAAGGTATCGGGTGAAGACAGAGGGGAAGAGAAGTAGGAGAGGACGATCCAGGCTATTTTTGGGTCGAGGAGCCAGGATTACCTCCAGTCTGTGAAGCCATCCAGTCCCACTTCTGAGTCATCTCCTCTAATAGTGTACCTGGCTCTCCCCCAAACTCTCTGCTGCTGAAAAATATATGAGCGCTGCAGGTGGAGGAGAGAGGAGGAGGGACACTCTAGAGCGCTGACTCGCTGTAAAGACTCAGGACTTTGAGGAGGTGATCAAAGTTGGATCTTCCCTCGCTTCTAACGATGACAGAGCCATTTTATAATAAATGAAAAAAATAAAATCACAGCACATAAAAGCAGCGAGCGGAGGAGCTTAAACACTGACAGTGATACTTAAGTCACTGAGCTGTTACTAAAGAGAGAGAAACATGGAACATCATCATGGATGTAATCTGTTTTCCTCTTCAAACAGGACTTCAGAGTCTAAATTTCTCTGTCTGATGATTTGAAATGTCGTTTCTATTCTTGGCGTAATCCTGTTTTAATCAATTATCACAGAGACAAACGTAGGAGGCAAATATCTGCATCAGTGGGAAGTGAAGAAACTGAGCGCAGAAAATGCAAAATGAGATACCAGTGAAGTTCAGCTTCTGTGCCAGGAGTGTGCAGGAAAGCTAATATTACTGAAGGAAGGGACATGCGCACTCACAAAAAAAACAAACATATATGTATAAATTGAAACACACTGCAGGTTGGTGCAGGAGATGAACCCATATGGTGAAGCTGTCAGAGACTCAGCACTGATCTCCTCCTCACACACAGCTCTGACCAAATGATGCCACTTTGTTTTTATTTACCCCCCCCCTCCCCCGCAAAAAAAAAAAAACGAACCTACAGTCTCCTCACATCAATATTTCATGTTTGTGAGACCACGTTGTGATCAAGAGAGAGAATGCAGGGGGTGAGCAGTAAACACATGCATGTGCTATATCCTGACTGTTTGTGTGTGTGTGTGTGTGTGTGTGAAGGTCAGGCA